TCAAATCAATAAATCTTAATTATAAATCTATTAAAACAAGTGGAATGCTGCAGATGTTCAGCTGAAATTAAGCAAGACAGACGAAGACTGGAGAAAGTGAAGCAGTGCCAGCAATAGAGGTGAAATGGAGAAGCATGAGGATAGGAGTGACGCATACACACAGGGTGTATCCCCACAGTGACACACACAGACACACACACACACACACACAGAGAGAAGCCTAACTTTTATCCAAATAAAAACTCCCAACTTTAAGATATCAGGGAAACTGACAAAATGTGCGTCAGTGGTGAACAATGTCCCATAAAATGATTCCACTAAATGCCACTCGTTAAATGTCAGAGATCTTAGATTCACTTAAAAATAAATGTTATCAATTTTTTCATGCTATGGAAGGAGCCAGAGAGATGGAGGTCACATGGGAGTTTGGCGTCAAAAAAAGTCACATCTGGCACACCTCAGGAAGACCTTAGTGGCTGCCTCAACCTGTTGTCACTTGACCACAGATCACATGGCCTTCTCTGGCATGCACCATCCATATACATGCTGGCTCATACAGTATATAACGCAACACAACCCTCAGCACCTCATTTATGAGGAAAACTCTCGTGACTATCCTCTGCTAAATCACCAAGATACTTTTTCTTGTGCTCCTCTGTGTGAATGACAACAGAATGACCTGATATGTACTGTAGGAGCATGTGCAATGCTTTCTCCTGCTGTCAGTATGCCTGCTAAAACACACAGTGTGTAGACTAATCTTTGTGCCCAGAGATACCACCTAACCCACACCATATCCCTCATTCCAGTGCAGCTAGGACATTTTTGAGGTAGTGGTTTTACACTGGTGATCTAGGACTGTGGAGGGGGCCAGAATTTAAATATGAAGTTCAGAGACAAATTTGTCAGCAATGAGATTCCAGGGGATAATACTGCTGGCTGGCTGGAAAAGCAATCCTGTGCACAATGAGGAACAGTTGTATGAGGTAAGTGTATCACACTGCAACTAAATAAACACTTTAGAATGAGTCTGCTACGTCTCTGGATATATGGTTAACAAAACCTGGTAACAGTTAAAAGTAACAGCTGGTGGCGACTGTGTCAACTAATGATACACAAAAGATTTTTTTAAGAGTCAGAAGTCAGTTACAATAACAGTCCAACTATCAGTGTGCCTTACCTCAAAGTAGCAATTTCCCTTTGACAAAGGATGGCCAGCCACATAGCAACCCACCTCCTCAGAGTTCCCTTGGTAACTACAGAGAAGAAATTACAGGTTAACAGGTCCAACTGCTGTACACACAGTCACATCTCAAAGAACCTCATCGTTTGAATACAAGACTATCAGGGCACCCTCAGTATAATCACATACCCCGGCGTGTACAACAGAAACGAGAAACACGTGCACACATTATTAACAATGAAGATGGTAAAAAGGTAGATTTAGAACTGCTACTGGTGTAAATAACCCAATATTCAGCCTGTTAGATAAAGAAAAAAGATGAAATTCATTTGCAATACAACCTAAATTTATTAGACATGACTCATATTTAGCAATAATATCAAACCACTCCCGTGAGAATCTATCATTGCTCAAGTACTGTTTACAGACTTTTCTCTTAAAAGGACCTCAATTTGGTGGTGATGTAATTTTGGATTTGAGGACTTGGATTTTTATTTTGTTTTCTCTTGTGTCTTTTAACGTCCTGGGTCCATGTTGGAAATAAGTGTTTTCACTTTAACACATTATCACTTGGATTTTTTTTTTTTTGGTCTGCAATCCATCAAATCATAAATAACATGATTATTTGGTAAGATGTCATAGTTGCAAAGGCACAGGTGACATAACTGATTTGCAAGGTCCTGGGATGAGCTGCCACTGTCACTACCTACTGGAGCAGCTGAGTACATTGGAACAGAGCTGTTGTTAATGTCATTAGTAACACATGCATTTTCCCGCTGTGCACTCTCAGTAAGACCTGGGTCACTGGAGCTTCAGACTATTTATTCAGCACTGTGGTGTGCTGAATGTTTTGCACACTATTTAGCAATTGAGTCAAATGTCAACATCTTTGAAATGATGATTCACAAGCAGAAAGTAATACAACAAAAATTCATAACATACAAGCCTCTGAGGTTTACAGCAACAAAAACAAACCACTTAACCTACAAAGACCGTTTTCCAGTAGGGATAGCATCTGCTTTTGTTAAATTACTGTCTTTTTTTATGTCAGGTTAGCCTAAAAAGAAGCCTCAAAATTCTGATTGTTTTAATAAGTGATTCTGAGCATTATACAGGTGACCTGCATGTCACACCTCTATTGTAAGTGATATTACGCTCCAGTGATATTAAAACCCCTTTCCCCAAATGCGAACAGACATAGGTTAAATCCCAATTCCCTCATTTAATCACCTCTTGCATCCCAATCGGCGTGTAGGTTGCTCCAGTCAGCCATTTTGAAGGACATCCCAGAGCTCTTATTTGGGCTCTGAAGATTGAGGAGGCTGCCGGGAGGAGACATGAGCTAGGATACACGACAGAATCCTCCGAAGAAGTTTTATGGACGACACACCTTGTTTACATCCCATGTCTTTCCAAACCTTTCCTTGATTCCTCTTTCCTCTCATTTTACACTCGCACCTTTCATGGACAGGACTAAAATACAAGGAAAAGACGCAAGTGCGGGAAATGTGGAACGTGGAAGCAATAAAGGGAATCGGGATTTACCCAAACTTTTGAGAAAGCACAGGAGAAAGAATATAACCGAGGAGTCCAAACTAGTACACTCTACTCATAGGCCAAAGACCTCCTCTCTTGGGATGTGTCAACCCATTTTGTTTGATCATGTTTATTGAAGATTCTTGCCCCTTTAATTGTGCCCAACCAACAAAAATACAGTTTCTCTGTCATGTCATAAAATTTTGTTTCTGTAATCAGTTAGTCTAATTAGTTCAGTCTTGGCTGTAGACTTCGGCCCCACATTTTACACCACCTTAAATTGTTTCCCATGAGTTCAAACAGTGAGATTTACAGATTTTACATTCGAGGAAACAGACCAGTGGTAGTGGATCAGTAACTGGCATCAGCTCATGCCAGTACGAACAAGCTAAACTTTTGTTATATGTAAAGACACTAGGGGTGTAACGATCCTCCAAACCCACAGTTTGGTTCAGACCTCAATTATTTTTTGCTTCGTTTTACTTGAGAACATAGTAGATTACCTTAACTTCACAAAACATAACCATGCAAACAAATAAATAAATAATTCTCTTAATACCAGTACAAGTAAACAAACAAACAAAACATTAACGATAAAAATGTTGTTCCAGAACTGCAACATGAGACAGTGGAGGTTTGTATCCCAGCTTTGGAATTGTTACACCCCTAAAAGACACACAAGGCCCATATGATAAATAAGATCAACTCCTTAGAAAATATCCTGCATAAAAGAAAATGTTTTTTAAATGTCTGATAAACACACTATGGCGCACCTTCATTTTGCTGCTTATTACATAAAGGTCTCCCAAACACATCAGCTGAATCCCGACCCAGGCAAGTTCAAAAACAGGCTAACCTAAGTGTGTCTTCGTCCTTCTGTAACCTCATGTATCGTTCCTGTGCGGGGCGACCATCCCCAATATCTCGGATTCGACGCCTCAGATTCAGGAGGCATCTGTGCTGTACTAAATTGATGTCATCCATCTGAAAGAAGAAAATAGGCGGGTGGAGAAATAACGGGTTAAATTCAACAGGCTGTCTGTCTTGCCTGTTTGCTGCCTAAGCCTCAAAGGAAAAAACAGGTAGGAAGAAGCTGAACCATTGTTGTGTACTAGTGTCACTGTAGGGCTGTACTAACTAAGCATTTTGTCAGTCAACTGTTCTGTGCAGCCATTTGTTCTTTATATAGAAAATCAGCTGGCATGATTTTCACTGATGGTTTCGACCACATTAACTTCGATATTCAAATTCAAAAGAGAGGCAGGAACATATTTGAGCATGTAAAAATTAATAAAGACAGCAGCATATGATGCAAGATTTAAACTGACCTATTTAAACTGATGATATATAATGTCAAGCTGCCATATAGATTTTTCAGAATGAGACCAGCAGCACACACATTTACTCCTGTGTTGAAACGATGCTCTTACAGGTAAACCTTTGAGACATGCTTATAGCCTAGTTTACCACCAAGCTTGAGCCTCTCTCGTCAGTTAACCACAGCGCATGTTATGTTTGATGCATGCCAGCTTGCACTACTGAATATATATTTATGATTCCTCTGATTTACAATTCCTCATTGTTTTCCAACCACATCAATGTTTTGTGTGCTTGTGTTCCAACAGCCTGGCACATACAGTATGTACACATTTCCAGTGAGCGTCATTCTTTTGCAAACTGGACAACAAGCGTCAGGCGCCGCAGCTAGCATTCTGAGACTGTGAATTCACACTAAAAGTGAGATGTGAGCAGTACATAACCTAGTGAAGCGTTTGATCTGTTCAGTCATCACAACAGCTGTTTGTTTGGTTACTGTCCAGCTGACAGACAAACGTCTGTGGGGATTATGCTTTGTTAAAACGCACCACAAAGAAACCTGAATCATAGAAAACAAGGGGCTCCAGGGGTCATGGGTTTCTGAGTCAGTGTGGACTGACACATTTGATAGAATGGAGGTTTATGTGTTGCATGAGGGCAAGTAACAAAATGCTTCCAATGAGAATTGGCCTTGACCTGTAGCAGCCAAGAAAAACACATAGATAAAGCAAACTGTCCCATCAGAACAAGTCGTGGGCATTGACGTATTCTGAATTAAAAAATTTTAAAAAAGGAAACATACATAACCTAGTCCTAGTGGATTTTGTTGTCTGTTTCTCCTCATTCTGGACAGCTATTTGCTAAACAGTGTAGTCGGTGCTTGCACATCCACATATCGGACAGCGTCATTGTGACCACAGGGGGAAGAACTGAGCAAACTGCTGCTTGGCACACCAAGATGAGGAGAAGATGACGACTAACAGACCTGGGACTACCTTCTATTGGAATGCACACTGGCTAACAAAAGTAAAATATAATAAAATAAAAACAAAGATTCAACTAGAAGAGTCTCAGTTGACCGGGGGTGGCAGCACTATGTGGATTGTATGGTTTCTGATCAGTGCATACTCTCAAACCTTCTCTGCACAAAGGTTTTCCTTTATCTTGTCATTTCATGATGCAATACTGACATATGTTCTAAATATCATGTCTTTCACAGAAGCACTGAGATTTGTTTTTAGACCGATACTGATTCAACTATTCCTAATATCATCATGATTTTCTCTGAAGTAGCCCATCTCCCAACCAATATCAGAACTAAGTGTTTTTGTTTTTTAACATAAGCAAACAGAGACTCTTTAGATGAATCCCGTAGATTGATTATTCTGAAAATTTTAACAAAGAGATACAGACAATTTACAGTTGAGAAACTCATCTGACATTCCCTGATGGAAAAACTATGTAAAAGTGACAATTTTTACATTACTTTTAATTTTATATTAAAGAGGACAGAGGTTGGTTTCATGTGAAACAAGGAAAACAATCAAATCCTCAAATTTGACATTTTGCTAGAAAAAAAAAAAAACTAAATCACTAAAACAGTTATAGTTTGTAGTTACCACTTAATTTCAACCAGTCTAATCATTGCAGCTCTAGTCATTTCATAAGACCCCTCCAGTGCAAACTAGTGAGAAACCAAAACAAGTATAGCTTGAGGAAAAAAATGCCCATCACAGTTTAAATAAACCCAAGGAGACATCATCAGATTGGATCATTTGTGCAACCAACTGTTTAAAACCTATTTATATCCAGTTTAGTAGCACATAAAACAAAGAAAAGAAGCAAAGCCTGACAAATTAGAAGCTGGAGCTATATATAATGAACTGTAGGAGTTTCAATGAAAATAAAAAAAGACATCTCAAAATAGCTGATTATTTGACAATTGACTAATCAATAAAACAGCAAACTGTTTCTGCTCTAGGGACATTATTTCAAAGATATAATACTTATTTTGTATCAAGAAGTATATGGAGGTTAAACCTGAAGCAATTCATATCTTGTACTGCACTGTAATTTGTTGTATTCAACTGTCTGCTTATTGTTTTATGTAAATGCTCTTTGTTTATTGCAAAATAACTTTAAATTACCTTAGTGTTGAAAAGAACTATACAAATAAAGATCATCTTATCTAAGAAAAACAATGCCAATTTAAAGACAAATTGTGGTCATGGAAAATATCAGACTTCTCTTTACTGGACTTTAAAAGAACAATAAAAGGTATTCATGGAATTTCTTTCAAAGCATCCTCTCTTTAGTACATTATTTAGCTTTTATGCATCTCTTGAAAATTTGCTGTTCTTCTTTATTGGCATTTTTCAGTCAGTGGACTTATCAGTTCTGCGTGTTTTGTCCATGTAGCAAGCCGGGGATGTTTAATTTGGTCTCATGTGCCATTCCAACATGTCATAGTGACAAGACGGGTGACCAGTGTAAGAACACACACACACACACACAGATAAACCTAATGTAACAACAGACTCATTTGAGATGAAGTGCACCTCGCCTGGTAGCGGACAAGATCAGGAAACGGCAGCAGGGGGAAGTGACAAAACTCTGGGCATCACAGGAAGTTTTAGGAGCTTGCCAGCAGCCTTCCCTCTGTACAGGAAGTCACAGAAGCACTCACATCCTGTTGGATTGAATCGCTATTTGATAAAATGTCATCAAACTAAACCACTAAACTTTTCAGCTTCTACTCAGAGTCCAAACAGCTGTTGGTTTAATGGCATCCTTCTATATGACAAGGAGAGTGATAACATGCTGATCTATGCTGATCTCCATACTATTATTTAAATGCTGTGTCTGAATATAGATATGGGCTACATTCCCCATAGAAAACAGTCATCATATCAGTTTACTGCTGTATTTGAGCTGACCAGGTTTCATTTGATATGAAGCTGCATAAATATATTCATAGCCATTGTTGATCTGTCAGATATTTAGTCTCCTTTGTACAGATACGCATCATTGTGAGAATCTTCACATCCCACTTACCAAAGGCTTTTGTGTCACTTAATACCTGACAAATTTAATCAGTTCATATGGTAGAGCAGAACTATCACAGTCTGACTACAGTCTATGAGAACTATAGACACTGTATGCCAACCGTATTCAGTTTCTGATAAAAATCACCTTCAACCACACATTTATACATAATAAACCTACATAGTGCAAAGACCAAATAAAATCACAATTGCTGCAATTATACAAGAAATAATACGTTTCTCTAAAAGTCATGTTGTTGAGCCAAGATCTCAACCAATCAGCTCTCAGATCAAGAGAGAGTTGGCGTTTCCCCATCATGCCCTGAGCTCTTGCAGTCGGTGGAGAGCAACTGCAGTGGCTGGCTCCAAGAACCGCAGCCGCCTCGGTCCCGTGAGAATGTCGTTGCATCAGAGCAAGTTGGGCAGAAAACTAACCGGCATGCATTGTGCGCTGATCTGATCCATCTCAAACGTGCCTAATCTTTATGCAGTGCAGTGATTGCAAGGACAGCATTTCATTTACATTGTACTGAGATTTCATTCAGTGACGTTGGCCACTGTCGTAAGCAAAGTCAAAGTTCCATTCAGAAATTTTGTTCACTGCATGAAACAAAATCTTCCAAAATTAAAAAAAAAATGGATATATGAAAGCAACGACGCGGGTAAATGGGCGTGTCTGTGTTTACATCTAGCTAACACTGTCAAGGTTTGCAAGCTAGCAACTCATCATAGTCAACCGCCCTACTAATCAGAATCTACTTTATTGGCCAGGTGTTTCGGACACACGAGGACTTTGGCTCTGGTTCATCGGCTCTCAATGTGTGTGTACATATCGCCATGCAAGGGGCAAGTAAACAGTAAACCAGCATGACCAAGACAATATTAGTCAAGCTAGCATGTCTGTTCAAACTGTTAACTGCTGCCATTTCTAGTAGCGGTGGTATACAGCCTAGTAATAACAAACATCATTTCAAAGTGATAATTATGCATTCGCAGTTGGCAAGGATCCGGTTAGTCGCGGTGCTAAACAAGATTAGCATTATGAGAGGCTAATGCGATAGCTTCCTCGGCTTAAAGCTGAGATCCACTGCTTGGCAAGATGACGTTCAAAGATTGTTTCCTAAAACTAGAGAGCATCATGGTGATTTACTATAAGTGTCATCATCGATTAGTCAGTCTCTTACCTGTTATCTAGGCGACTAATACGACAGAAACTCTCTTTTGCTCATCAGCTAGCCATAGTCCCACATAAAACTTTTACAAACTAGAGTTCGGCGCTTCCCAGTGACGTAACACCCTCGTTACCTAAATAGCCAATCACAGCGAATTTTGAGAAGCGGTGACATAAATCTAGCCAATCATTTTGCTTGAATTGTGTGCGTGCGCGCGTGTGTGTGTGGTGGGCGAATTGCTGTCCTCACATGATAGAGTATGAGTAGTTCACAGATGGAGGATGTATATTTACTTAAGTAAAAGTACCACTTCCCCACTATGTATATACTTTAATAGAGGTAGACGTTCTGCAATGAAAATCAACATTTTTGATTGGTTGTTTGATTGTTCAGTTTGCCAAAGCACAGGAAATAGTCAGTCCAAAGTGACACATTCACAAAGCTTGTTTTGTCCTACAAACATGTATGAAAAATTTCTTCAGTGATTAGGCCTATCAAAAATAGAATTATTTTATGTGTTATGGTTTGTAAAATGTTCATGTTTTGTATGCAAAATCAATCTGATTACTTTGTAAAGCAACTAGTACCCGCATAAAAATTTTAAAGCATAAAGTGTCATAAATAGAAAATACTCAAGTTCATGTAGCTTAAATTTGTACTTAGTTACATTCCACTGTAGCACTGTCCAGTCACAGGGTTGGATTGTTTACTATGCTGAAGGCAGGAGTGAGAGCACAGACACTTTCTGAGCCAGCTCCGAAAGACCTGAGCCAGGAGGCAGAGAGGAGGAAGAAACTCAGGAAGAAATTATGTGGCTGCCTGGAGGAGGTAAAATTAATAATCCAGGGCAGTGTGGAAAAGAGAGCCCCAGTTGGTCTGGCATGGGTCTTGGAACATTCTCCTCAAATGTGGAAACAGACTAATCCTGAAGCTCACAAGCTGATGGGAACATAACACAACAGGTGATTTCTGCCCTCCTTGCCAAGACTAACCATAACAACAGGCTGCTGATGGCAAGGCAGATTTTGGCATCATGTTGCCCTGAATTCCAGTTGGTAGGCTACAGGCCAGTGTGTATATCTGTGTACACTGTCATGACTGTATCACCTCTGCAGGAGCCAATGACCCAGTGTCACAGTGTCTCTCTGTAGTGTTCAGCATTAATGGAGCCATCACAGAAGTGTAAGTGACCTTTGTCAAGGGCACTGACACGACCCCAGACTATGACAGACCCTGGCTTTTGGACGTGTTGCTGGTAACATTCCAAACATGTTGACACAGGGCTTCCTTTTGGTACAGTACAAGTTTGAGAAGCATTTATGGATGTAACTACGTATTGCAGTGCCTGACACAGGTGTGCCAAAGTCTTCCTGAGCCCATGTGGTTATATCACTTATAGAAGATGACGATTCTTGATGCAGTGCCGTCTGAGGGATTAGAAAGCTTGATCATCCAGCTGAGGCTTGTGCCCTTTACACACTGAAATCCCTCCAGATTCCTTGAATCTTGTAATGATATTCTGCACCACAGAGGGTGACATGTCCAAATCCCTTCCTATTTTCCTTTGAGGATCATAGTTTTTAAACATTTCAGTAATTTTCACATATGTTGGCAAACTGCTGGTCCTCAGCACATCCTTGCTCCTAAAAGGCTCGGCCTTTCCTGGATGCTAGTTTTGTACCAAATCATGATGCAGCCACAAGTTGACAATATCTGTTTCATATGTAATCATCAGTTCAGTGTTTTACCTCATTACTGGCCGTGAAATGTAACCATCACAACTTTTGTTGGAATGTGTTCCAGCATCAGAATTGAAGCAAGTGTTTATTTTGAACCAAGAATAAAACTGATGAGGTATCACATCAAATAATGTGCTGCTGTATTGTTTTCAATGTAACACAGGACACAGATGATTTACACATCACTATTTTCAGTTTTAATTTTGATTTTACACACTGCCCCAACTTTTTCTGATTTGGAGTAGTAATTTAATCCTGAAAGTCACCTTGACCTTTCTAAAAGTTATATATTTGCATGAATTTGATTATTCACATGCAGTAATTAATGTGTGTGTGTTTTTATAGGATTTCCTATAATGAAGCTACATTACTGAATTCATGGCCATGGACCACTTGCTATGCCTTAAGGGTCCACCAGGGGGTTGTGGACCACTGGTTGAAACCCCTGGAGTAGAGCAATGCATTGCCCTGACTGATATACTGACTGATATACATTCCTTTGACAGCGAGTCCTGCTCCTTTCTTGATGATTAGTCCACAACTAGGGAGCCATAGCTTGCACTGCACTCATAGTTCAGCATGTGCTAAAGTCCATGAAGTCAGTTAACATATGATAACTACTGAAATGTAAAGTTAATAAGCTCTAGAGCCCTTTCACGGAGACGCTGCATTAAATATCTGACTCAGCAGTTATTTGATTTTGATTAATTGTCATCAAGTAATCTTACATCGGTATGTTGCACTTCTGTCTGGCAGTGTACTAACAAGTACTGTACATTCAGGAGATCACAGATTTAATTTCAGGATTGCTTTCACATCCTAATGTTAATTCAGTATTCTGCAAACTTTGTTATATGTTATTTTAAAAAACTGAGTATTTCAGGTGTGGACCTCTAGCATTACATGTAGAATCACTTACAGAGTTCAAGCAGGGGAAACACACAGCTGTGCATTTGATGTAGCAAATGACATTGCAGTGGCGACGCCGATGGAGGCACATTATACATGTGTATTTGTTACCATGGCAAAATATTTTTCCAGAAAGGTCTCTGACACTGAAAAGAAAGTGCAAATAGCTGAACATTACTACTACTCTTTATGCATGTGCAATATGGAGCATAAGGGTAAGAAGAAGGGCTAAATGTATGGGTTATAACAAGAAAGGGTGGGGAGATTTTCATAATTTCTGATAGGAACATAATCCACCCCCACCCCACCCCCCACCTTGCTCTCTCCCTGCACCTCCCTCCCTCTCTCTCTCTTTCTTTCTCTCTCTCTCTCTGAGTCCCAGCCCCTGAAGGTGTCAACTGTGCTGTCTCTCTCTCTCTGTCTTTCTCTTTCTCTCTCTCTCTCTCTCTCTCTCTCTCTCTCACTCACTCACTATCACCGCCTTTCAGATCTTTAAAAGGTGGTGCTTTGCTGTGGCTCTCTCGATCTCCATTTGTCTCCTCCGGCACTGCAGGGGACTAGACCAGCAAAGCACCAAGGAAAGCTACTGTATAAAAACGGAAGGAAGACTGAGGAAAAAGGAGAGAAGGCAGAGAGAGTGAGAGCAATATATACATCCAGAAATAGCATCAGCCACATTTAACTGACAGAGAGTGACAGTGTGGAGAACCTGAGACCTGGACAGAAAATGCCTATCCTTTCTAACTTAACTGCCGTTGTTTTGTTGCTGATTGCTCACTGCGGATCATGGACTGGGGCAAACCGTTTGGGCCCCTTCAAGCTATGTGCTGCCTGCAAGGATCCACTGGGGGCAGGTCGACCCCCCAGGGACCATAATATTGCTGGCAGCACATCAATGTTGGCCCAGGGAGAGCCCTGTGGTGTGTACACACTGACCTGTGCCAAGGGGCTCCGCTGTGTTCCACCACCACGGGAGCACAGTCCTCTCCAGGCTCTGTTGCAGGGAAGGGGCATTTGCGCCAAGCACAGCAGGACTAGTCCCACTGAGAGGCCCCACCCCACAGGTAAGCTACTACATATATATATATGTGCATTGAAATCACATATGCACACATACATGCATGCAACTAAAGATGCGCACACACAAGCATGAGCACTGCAGGTAGGCTGCTATGTACCACGGTTTATTAAGGCTACTGTAATAGGCTCACCATGTAATTGTATATAAAGTGTGCCTCCTCTATTTATGTAAATTGCATGCGATGCTGTGTCACTCACCAACAAAAAGAAAAGTCAATTAATGTGTGACATTGAAGCCTGGATGCATTTTATGCACCACAAATGCTTTTGCAAACCACTGCTCTGCAGTGCCTCTGGAGTCACTGTGATAAAAATATAATTTCTGAGTCCTGATGTTAATCAGAAATTATGCAAAATCACCAAAACCATAAAGTTCAATTCAATTCAATTCAGAGATATTTTTTCTTGAGGTGTTACCACAGTAAATTGAAATGCATACCTGCATTTATATGATTTATGCTGTTATATTTTTCATCTGCTTCAGTCACAAGGTGCATGACATTGATCTAACCTACAAGTCATGCTCTCTGTAGAGGATTCAGAATGAATGTGAAACTGTTCTAGTGTCACCTACATCCTGATCAAACTGCTTTTGATTGCAGTGATCTCCATCTACTGTTCAAATGGAGGTACTGCAATTTACTGTCTTGAAAGGACATACAGTATACTGGTGGAAATTAGGTCTCCCATTGAATGACCATCCCCAAACTGATCTCATAAGTGTGACTGCTTAGTTGTATTGTGTGCAAAAGATGCAACAATATAAAACCGAGTCTAAAAACCTTAGGTTACATATGTTATATATAAAATGTGACATTGGATGTTGTCTGATGTTAATTGCTAAGATGTTTTAATGTGACACTCTGATGGTCATGTGTCATTTCCTCTCAGGTCCACATCCCTCACACAGTGGTGATATTGAAAAAGTAAGTTCATGCTCTTATTTTAATATCTTTAATGACTGGAGCTAATAAAAACCTACATAAATGAGATGTATCGAGGATTTTACTAAATAACATTATGTTATTACACATCAAATGTTATGGAAAAGGTTGTATATGAAGTTGCACTGCATTATAGAGCATTATTACCATAGATCCTCAGCTGGTTGGAGTGTTGCAGTGGCATGTACACACACACTGCTCTGAAGCCATGCATTATGGTGCATGATGTGTGTGCTGCTATGCGGCAGAACTAACTGAGCATGATGTGAATCAGGAAAGTTTCACATCAGCCGTTACTGCCACAAATGTTTCACTTTGCAAGCCAGCTGGTCTGCAGCATTTAAACTGATATGTATGTTGTTATGCGAACAACAACAGTCACATGAATTTTGATCTGATTTTAACTTCAAGCATTCAATTTCACAAAGTGACACAAAAATGCACAGTCACTTCAAACCATACAATGACCTGAAAAGCCAAAGCATTGTGTAACAATGTAGTTATATAATGTTATACAGTATGTGGCATCTTTTATATACATGTAAATGTACATATTCTGTGCTCCTGGCTCCAATGCTGCATCATGGTAGCTAATCCTCTGTGCTTCATATCAACATGTATTGTGATCAGAGAGGATTTCTGCCAACTGAGGGGAGAGAACAGCTTCCCACTGCCATGATTCAAATGTAGCCAGGTCACCAGGTTCACTCTTTTTGTCTCTGGTGATATTTGAAGTCACACTCTGCATTGCTGTTTTCAGGCACCCTGCCGCAAGCTGCTCAATGTTGTCCTGAGGGGTCTTGAACTGACAATCTTCCAGTCTGACCACGACATCTATATACCCAACTGTGACACTCGGGGCTTCTACAGGAAAAAGCAGGTGGAGGATAACAGTGATCATGAAACATAATACTGGAAGTTTGTTGCCTGTTAGATCTTATGTGAAATGAACGTTTGCTACACTGACTTGGTGTTACTGAGTATATTTCAGGGCTGTACTTCTCTACAGATCTCTGAGATTTCACTGTGACCACTGACACGTCTCTCTCTGAGTTTGTCAGGTGTGGGCTCAGAGAATCACCACTGCGCTAAAATGACATGCCATTTTCTCTCTCCTCCTCTCTCGCCACCTTTCCCGCTCTCTCACTCTAATCCCCGCCCTCCTTTCCCTTTCAAAATCTTCCTCTCTGTCTTGTGATCTCACACAGTGTCGCTCCTCCAAGGGCATGCAGCGTGGCCTTTGCTGGTGCGTGGATGAGCTCGGCACGCCCGTGCCCTCACAAGCCAGTGAAGATGGTACTTTACCCTGCGATGCGGAGTGAGTGAAGATTCCGTCCTATTGCTCTGAACCTGGAGGAAGAGGAGAAGGAGAAGGAGGTGGTAGTGGTGGAGGAACAGGAGGACAGGGAGAGGGGGTGGCTTTAGCACATGTTAGACACTGCCTGGGCAGGAGGTAGCAGGGATAAACCACTTCCTGTGGAAATACACAGCAGTTAACATTCATGTCCTCTGTAGAAGCAAGACACACACTCTCACAGTCTAGCAGCAGCAACAATAATATCTGCCTGAATGTTCAACAGTTGCAGTACTGTCCTCTGCATCATCTGGCAACATGCTGCATGCTCACATCAGTGCTCTGTGAACTGCCTCAGTGATCCAAGTGGTATTACTTTGAATGGTTTCTATATTCCCTGGCTCTTGTCCTGGCTTTCTGGTAGAGTTTTAATTGCCCTTTTTAATTTAGAATAGCTGACACTGCCTGTGTTTGTTCTGATCTCAGTGGGCTGAAATACTGTTACACAGGTGATGTGACACAAATGTTTGAGAAATGTGTCTCCCTCACCGTCCTCTCTCCCTCTCTCCAAAGATACACTGATATCAATATACCTAAGTGACAGAATATTTCTTTTCTATTAATTTATTTTTTGAATATGTATTTCCATCAAGTACTGCTTGAATCTTACAATATCTTATATATATGTCAAGTCAGAAAAAATAGTCATACCAATATGATCCCAACAGCTTCTGTTCATTTTATTTGTCAAAATGGTGTTTTGATTGCTTATTAGTTTATTGTTTGTACATATGTTTGAACTTTGTGGTTGACTGTGTGTTCTGAAGTGGCAGACAAAAAGCTTACAGCTGTTACCCTTTCCAAAAAGTTGTATGGCATATTTTTATACACGTCAATATAATATTTTATATATGAACTGTTGGTTCATTCAATGAACTACAGTACAATGCCATGTATTTTTATATTGTCAGCAGTTTCTTATTTAAAGATAGAGATTATTTTATTTCATGTTAGGGGAAATATTGTGCTTCAAAGGCACCTTTATGGCAAAACATTCAGAGCTCTATTCTCTTGACTGCTGTACATCATATGGTTATAGCTCATGTTTTCCTTTTTAATTTATGCTTTCTTTATTTGAGATTTGCAAATGTCCATGTTACTATTATGTTTGTTTGTTTGTTTTTTGGCACATTATACTATCGATTCCAATTTCAGGAAAAAAAAAGATCAGATTTGTTATTCTTATAGTATGTCTTTCCCAAGTCCTTGCAAAAGTCATGAAATTGTGTGCTATTAAAGTGTAATTAGATTTTATCTATTTCTGACCAATCTTGTGCCAATGTGTGTGACAGGTCCGTGCACAAAGGATTTACAACTATGAAATAAAACATAATTATTAAAATTGAGATGTATTAAAATATATTAATACAGACACAGGTACTGAGTGATTTTTTTGAAAATACTTAAAAGCAGTGTTGATAGGACATGATGTTATTGTTGGTGCTGCGCTACCTGCTGGAATTAATTTCACTGCTTTGGGAATGTGGTTACCTGTAACATGAGGGATTTGTGGGAGAAAACACAGCAACGACTGGTTGGATTTACCGACTTTGAAGTTTCTATTGCGTGGGACGTAACGGTAAGTTTAAAGAAAATGTGTTTAGAGTTTTGGAAAGATGAGCAGAATTTTTGCTCCCTGAGTGTCAGTTTTCTTTAGTTGTGCCAAGTGTTTTATTTTAGTGTGTTAACAATTGAAAAAATCGACAACATATCCCTGATTGGGTTCCACATGGATTCAGAAGAAGCCGCTCCTTCCTGTTGGTCCTAGCTGCTTCTTTCAGGCTGTCTTCAGGGTGCACGTTTTTTGTTTTTGTAAATCTTGATATGTTATCAAGAATGATATCATATTAATGTCCTTCACTGAAACACTGCTTACCCATATTCTTTCCACCTTTCAAACTTGGTTTCAAATGAGCCCAATAGCATCACCATTCAGATTACATTCGTCAGGCTTTACTTCCCTGAAGTGTCAGCTGATCTTGATTGACTTAGGTTCTGTCCAATCACAAGCAAGCAATGTTATCCCTACCTTTTCGGAAATGTTGCATTTTGTGAAAGCGTTTTGTATTTTGTTGTTGTGTTTTCTGAAATGTTTTGCACTTCAGGGCCACTGTAAATCCAAAGCGGGCATCCGCACAGACCAAGTTGCATACTGGCAAAAGGCCAGGCCCGTACCAGTTTGGCCAGTTGGTTTACATAGTGCTTTTCTCCGTTTGCCCTTGTACTCTTGTGGCTCCGATTACAGTCTTTTTCACCTACTTTATTTCTACAGTTTGATCCCGTATTACTTATTTTCCTTTACTTGCCTCTACTCTGCTGTCCTTAATATTGTATTTTCGTTTCATTTCTCCTCCCACTGTGCTTTCAATTTCCTTTAGACTAATTTTTTTTAAATCTGTTTACACTATACCCTATACAGTGTTATGGTAGACTATATTTTATGACATTAAAACTAAGAAGGTTTTCAAATTTAGATTACTGATTTATAATTATTTTAATTCCAGCCAGAGTCAGCATTCATAATGTAAGGACCATAAAAGTTGTATGAAAGTTGCTACCAGTCAAGCAAGTACAAGTTAGATATTGCACTGAGTAAGTGAAAACTTAGAAATACAGGTCAGGGGATCACCAAAATACCATGGAGTACAATAATACAGAACTTTCACAGCAATCCATTCGGTAACTGTCAAGATCCGAGAGAAGCAGGCCTTGTTTCAAAAATATCCATTCATCCATCATCTATACTGCTTATTCCTAAATAGGATCCCTGGTGGCTGGAGCCCATGCCAGCTGACATTGGGCGAGAAGCAGGGTCCACCCTGGACAGGTCTCCAGTCTGTCACAGGGCTGACATGTAGACAAACAACCACACTCACTCCTACGGGCAATTTAGAGTTACCAGTCAACCTAAGCTGCATGTCTTTGGATTGTGGGAGGATGCCGGAGAACCCAGAGAGAACCCACACAGGTACAGAGAGAGCATGCAGACTCCACACAGAAAGGCACTGGGTCGGGCTGAGCTTGAACCTGGAAACTAACCATTAACTTTTACCGAATAGTGGAAACTTCAAGGTTGGGAAATCCAGCCTGTGATTGCTCCATAAATCCCTCATGTTACAGGCAACCACATTCTCAGTAGTAAAAAAGTTACAAAAATGTCTGTGTGT